ACTGAAGCTCTAAAACTCTGGTCACCTCAACAAACTTATTCCATACCATGTCTTTTTTGGCTAACTTGCTCCATGGTTTCCAAATCATACATCTGCGATTTCTCCTCATACGATAACATAACACACTCGCTCTCACACATGCACTCATACCTATCGTAATAGGCGTATGTTTAGCATTATTAATCTCAACATAGTTTGACATGAAACATTTGCATATAACAACTATAATGGCTCATCTCACCTCGCTAGTTCAATATCTCAAACTAAGCTATAAAAATTAATCAAATCCCGTGTATTTCACAAAGAAGCAAAGCAATGAAAAACGATAAATTAATCAAATCTCATTTATTTGACAGAGAAGTAAGCTAAATGCGACGATATCACCCTTAATATTGCCAACGGCTGACAAAATGTGATCCCCTACACTGAAAACTGGTCTTGATCAATGCATACTATGAATATGAAAAGGATAAATCGAGCGTGTGTTCATCGAGTGGGGAGTATTGTTTTTCAGAAAAGTTGTACCGACTATACTATGATTTGTCCACATTTTAGGGGTATTGATCGATACATACTATAGATATATGAAAAGTTAAATCGAGTGTTTCTTTTAATGTTAAGACTCTTAGCAAAACTTGATCGGTGCATACTATAAATATATGAAAAGTTAAATCAAGTGTTTCGTTTAATTCTTTTAGTATATTTGGTGGTCCTTAAAAGAGCCGTTTTTGTATGTCTTGTACGTCTCCCTTACTCTAAAAGAGACGTATCAACATCCGTTCCTTTTGCTCACTCGACGATTCCTTGGCGCGTTTTGCCTGAAACTCCAGAAACAGCTCCAGATCCCGCTCTGCGACAAATGCCATGAAGTCTTCAAGGATAGCTTTATCTTTTTGCTTTCGTCCCCTATATTCCCGCATACGTAAGGCATCCTTTTCTGCTTTCACCTCCATTATGAACAAGTCAGCACGACATGAGAATGCAAAGAAGGAAATTGCTGTACTATACTAAATGAAATTGAAGGGCTTGCCTAACGAGCGGTACATTTGGGAAAGATTTTATGTCCAAATGATCACTGCGTTGATAATAAGGATTTTTCCTCGAAAACGGTATTTTAATTAAAGGTCTCCTCAGGAGACCAGCCTCTGGAAATTAGAAAGTCTGCTGGTCATGAGAGAACTTAAGATCATTGAACATTCTAAAAAAAATAACGATTTATTTCAAATGGTTGAAAATATATGTCTGGTGTTGGACGCACATCATGAAATATACTGGCTTTTTGCAGTTTGAAAGAGAAACTGACCAAGCAAAGTCAAAGAAACTGGCTTATTCTTGAATCATTTAATTTTAATATAAATATTTTAATAATACATTGAATTTATGTGGAATGTTGAAATTACTATTTATTTTTACTGATAATACCTTTTACCTCAGAGGAGAAAATTTATAACTAGAAAATATTTTATTGTATTGTAGGTTTCTTAGTTTCTAAAATTTTACCAATTAAAAGGCCTATATTAAACATGCATGAGTGCTTTATAGTATGCAAAATATCAGTGAAGATATAAACGTTTAATAAATTTAATAATATAAAACCTGTTTTGGCCATTTAGCTATTGTTGTAACTGGCTGACAGTAAGTTTAAAGGCTAAAGCACAAACCAACCCAGTGTTTTATACTTTGATGTGTATTTTGTGCTTCACCTTGCATTTGACCTATAAAGTCTATTGCCCTTGATTGCCAAAATCTACAATGTTTACACTAAGGAATGGGGTATACTCTGGACTTACCTGTGGCCACATATAATGCATTTGACATCTAGTTACAGGAAGTGTCTGTTGTAATCACAACAGAAATTGCTCATTAACACAGTATATATATTTATTTAAACACGCAACACAGCCTCGAATACGTCTTCTCTTCTACGACATAATTAAATGCCAGTGTACTTCACATTTCTATCCTTGGTGACGATTCAACTACAAATAAAAACGTGAACTTAAATACACGATACAAACGATCGCCTAAATAACAATGTATCTTTCTTTATCAAATGCAATATGAATGTCATAAGTATTTACTCACGATAACTGTATTTGTCCACATAATACGGTAGTAAATTAAATAAATGTACACGATGTTCTGCAATTCTTCAAATGTGAAATTCTTCAAAACAAAGCGTATATACAACGTACGAAAAACGAGAGCGCCCGCGAACATCATTTCACTACTTCATGATACCGACATTATGTCGCAACATACCCGCCCTTGTGAACGAACCACTTTTCTTCACCAATAATCTCTTACAATACTTGCGACATTACCTTACTCCTCGTCATCAGAAGACTGTTCTAAAAGGCATTGCTTCGTAATGGGTCTGACCAACATAGTTGATCTCATCTTCACCTTAGCCGATCTTACTCGATTGTCCTTGCCTGTATGTACTTCTACGACACGGGCCAACGGCCATTGACTTCGGTGCACGTTCTCCTCAGCGACCATCACCAGGTCCCCAGCCTGTAAATTGCGTCGTATTTTGTTCCACTTTCTTCTCTCCTGCAACAGTGGCAGATATTCCTTTAGCCACCTCTTCCAAAAAAGGTCCGCCATGTACTGCACTTGCCTCCAACGCCTCTTCAATAACTGTCCGATTTTTCAAAAACTCCGGGTGGTACGTTCGGATTGGATCGAAGTAACAACAGGTGGTTCGAGGTCACTACGTCTAAGTCGTTAGGAAGATCACTTACGGATGTCAATGGTCTACCATTTAGAATCCCTTCGACTTCAACGATCAGAGTTCTCAACGTCTCGTCGGAGACTACCTGATCCTTCATTAAGCCTCAGAGTGTCTTCTTCACCGATTGAATCATCCGCTCCCATACTCCTCCCATGTGCGAAGCGGCGGGTGGATTAAATATCCACTCCACATTTCTTTGTTGTAAATATTCGGCAATCTTTTTTTCATTCCATTTACCAATAGCTTCGCGAAGTTCACGTTCTCCGCACTTAAAATTTGTGCCGTTGTCACTTCGTATAATCTTCGGATTCCCTCGTCTGCCAATAAAACGCCTAAGGCCATTCAAAAACGAGTCCGTGTCCAACGAATCTACGATCTCAATGTGTACGACACGCGACGTCAAACAGGTAAAAATACAGCCGTACCTCTTTACCTGGCTTCTTCTCTGTTTCACCATAATTGGCCCGAAAAGATCTATGCCAACGTTCGTGAACGGCGGCTCATCTGGAGTAACTCGATCCGCAGGAAGGCTAGCCATCTGCTGCTCTAAACAACGGGCATTCTGCCTTTTACAAGCAAAGCAACCTCCCAGTATTCGTCTCATTGCAGCTTTACCGTTTACTATCCAATATAATTCTCTTGCGCTAGCCAGTACGTGCTCTTTTCCCGCATGTCCCAAAGATTGGTGTATTTCAGTAACGATCAAATCCGTTAATCTATGTTTCTCTGGGAGTATCACTTGATGGCGTTCGTCGTGTTTGATTGGTGCGTACTGAAGTCTGCCCCCGACACGGATCACGCCCTCTTCATCGATGAACGGGCACAACTTAGTAATCGGCCCGAGATATCCCGATTTTGTCACCATACTCGACTTGACAGACTTGGTTATGTCTTTGCTCGACGTCAGTTTTCGCAAAACTGATAACTCTTCAGAAAACGTTTGTCTCTGAGCATGCATCACTAACTTCCTTTCAGCAACTTTCAACTCTTCCAAAGACAACTCAATATTTGGATTACCAGCTTTCGTTTCGACACCTCTTTTAAGCAGGAATTCTTTAAATCTCAGCCACCATGCCACTGCCCGTTTCAGTCGGTACCAGGAAGAATAGTGATTGATCAGGGTATCTAATCCACCGGAAGCTTGCGTCGTACCATCAACAACTTCTGCTGCTACCGTATAATGGGTTGCTCTCTTCAGTTCCAGGTCGTCAACGGCGGAGGAAATTCGCGGTTCCTTTGGCCAATCGTTCTGTTCAAGACTCCAAAGGAAGCCCGGCCCACTAAGCCACCTCTCGTTCTTCACCATTTCTACGGGTGACAAACCTCGACTTGCGTCGTCCGCCGGATTTAACTCGGTATTTACATACCGCCACTGCGATGGTGATGATCCATCTCTAATGAGGGCTACCCTGTTCGCGACGAACGTGTGGAATCGCGAAGATTCATTTTCAATATATCGGAGGACTGCGGTCGAATCGGTCCAAAATACAGATTCATCAATGCTCAGATCAAGCTCACGTCGAAGAAACTGGTCCATCTGGACGGCCATAACTGCCGCAGAAAGTTCTAAACGCGGCACGGTCATAGGCTTGATCGGGGCTAGGCGCGACTTTCCCAAAAGGAAGGCACAATAAACCTTATTCTCTTCATTCACGAATCTAACATAGCTTACTGCGCCGTAGGCTGCTTGCGACGCATCTGAGAAGTGGTGCAGTTGAACAGTTTTGATTTCTCCAAAACCTTCGGGTTTCATACATCTATTCACGCGTATTCCTGACAACGCCGGTAAGTCTGTCAACCATTTGGTCCACTGTTTTTCCTCCAAAGCGCCAATCTTGTCGTCCCAACCGACGTTCTTCCGACACAACTCTTGCATTATTTTCTTTGCTGGCAGAATCGCGGGTGCTACCAGTCCCAAGGGATCGTAGACCGAGCTCGTGGTGGAGAACAACCCTCGGCGAGTTATCGGATTTTCCTTCGGCGCGATTTTAAAGCTGAACACGTCTTGCTCAACATGCTACTGAGCACCAAGCGGTCGCTCAATCGGCAGTTCGTCATCCAATTCTAGGTCTACAACAGAAGTAGCACGTTCGCTTCCAGGAATGCTTTATTCTTAACTTTAACCGGTACGATCCGTAGACAGACGCTACCGCCTTTGTTCGTTGAACTACAGTTACCATTCCTTTGCTCTGAATTACCACCTTGAAAATTGTCATTCGCTTCCAAATCTCGATCCTTCGTTGGTGGGTGCAAGATGGTTTTATGGCGTCGATTGCACCCACTGACTTCGCATGCACTTCTCTTCATACCTCCCTTTGCCAAGTGTCCACTTACAAAGCAATTGTCGCAGAGCCTTAAGGATCTCACAATTTTCATCCTTTCTTCATAAGATACCTTTTTGAGCTGATCACAGTTTTCTAGTCGATGGTTATCATGGCATAATGGACATGTTTCATGCTTATCAGTCGTCGTATCTTTTGCTTGCAAATGTTGGATTTGGTGAATGCCGCCTTCAATACCAAAGTTCGCCCCCGACGGCCTACGCTGGCGCGTTGAATCCCTAGACTTACTTTCATCATTAAGAATTCCTGAGAACATAGGATTATTCGCACTCTTTGCTCTTGTCATGACAAATTCTGAGATGTGGTTAAGCCTTGGTCTTTTGCCCGCCTCCAACAAGTCTTGAGCCCTTTCCAGCCACTTCGCCTTCAGATGGTAAGGCAAGCGTTCAACGACTCGCCTTAGGTTGTCGGAGCTGTTGACTTCGTCAAGATAACCTATTGCGTCCAAGGTGGTTTCACACTCCATCAACTGATCTGCAAAGGCTAGTAGACCAGCACTATCTGAAGCCTTAATTTGAACCCCATTTATTACGTTACGAATACAAGACATGGCAATTTTATAGGGGTGACCAAATCTTTCTTTCAACAGCTTACGCGCAGCTTTATAACCTTCAGACTTTATTTGCTTCTCCTGTGCAATATTGGAGTAGATGCATCAGCTTCTCGTTTTCATTGAAGGTGTTACGCTCTATCGTATTCTCAAAGGATCTAATGAATCCCCAATAATTCAAGGGATTCCCATCGAACTTCGGTAAGTCGGGCTTCGGAAGAACAAAACCTTGCCTGATCGTCATAGCCAGCTGCTGTAAGTCATTGTGGTCGTTTTTCACCTTTAACCCGGCGCTTGACTCGTTGCTAACAATAGTGTGAGGTAATAGCATGGGGCCAATGGGGGTATTTGATTTTCAGTTCTACCCAAGTTGATACTGCTGCAAGTTTCCATCATGTTGTTTTCGGTACTTTGTTTTGGTCTGACAATGCTTGTACAAAGGGGTCCTTTGGTGTCCATTTGTACACCCTCCTTGGGATTGGGATCAAGCTTACCTGCCGGTGGTTGCACATTGCAGGCATCTGGACACTCGTCATCGTCAATAATTTGGGCCTCTAAGTAGGCTTGTTCAATTTCATTCTGAATATCCAACATTTCTCGATTCATTTTTATCTCTTCTTCTTGCTTGAGCAATTCTTGCTTTTGCTTTAACTGTTTCATTTTTAACCGAGCTACTGCTTGCTTAGCTCTAACTCTTCTAATTTCGGAACTCGAGGCGGAACTTGGTACTGAGCCCAGAGACGACCTGCTACTCCGCCGTGATCCAGCTCTACTCACCGAGTCCTCAGGTCTTACATCGAACATTTTTCTTTCCGCTTCCCCTCTCATGGTATTATGTAGCCTGCTGACTATATCAAGTTTCTTTCGCAACAGTTTGTTGTACAAATGCAGGGCCTCTGTAAGTAATTCTGGCTTAGATTCCAAACTCTGGCAATAATCCAAATGAACAGTTTGAAAATAACCGAATGAAACACTTATTTTCTCTAGATAACGGTCCAGCTCCTCTTTGGGTGCATCATTAGCTAGTAACACTTCAACATCTTTATACAATAACGATAAGCCCTCTATACATGCCGCTTTTGACAAATTAAGTGCTCCAATTTTTTCCACTAATTCTCTGTCAACAGACTCTGCAGACAAGCACACATCCTCATTTCTAGGCCCAGGGCCTTCCGATCCCTCTCCTTTCCATCCTCGTCCCCAGGCCCAAGCTCGGGCGGCCCTCACAGTGGCCCTGGTTCAGGCTGTTGATCTGCGTCGGAATTCCGACGCAGAGGCTTGGTCGCACAGCATATGCCTTTCTCCCTAAAAACATGGCGACCGCAATGAATGCAGCTGTACGAGAAGCAATATATTTTGCACTTGCAAAAACAAATAATACTCAAATTAAGTTAAAGGAAGAGCAGAAAGAAGATATTCGTCAAATAGTAAATGGAAGGGATGTTAAATCGTTGATATACCAACTTTTACCGTCGATGTTCGACTACATTAATTCGAGAAAAAGAAATATTTCTGCCGTGTTGCCAGAAACAATTGTAATCGTGATTTCCCCATTAAATGCACTGGTGGGCGACCAAATAGACAAGCTAAAA